ATCTCGATCTGTAGACCAGGCTGGCCTCGAACTCACAGAGATCCGCCTGGCTCTGCCTCCCGAGTGCTGGGATTAAAGGCGTGTGCCACCACCGCCCAGCCAGGATCGGTTTCTTTACCTATGCACTGGGGTCTACAGCCCTGCCTCAGATTCTCTGGGCGCCATTATTTGCTGATCATGAGCTCCTCACTGTTCTAGCAGAATACAGGTATTTGGGGGACAAGGAGCCTTGTCCTATTTAGTGGTGGCCCCGGGGACAGGGCCTGGTTCACGGCAGGTGCTCTGTGTCCCACCAGTCTGGTAGTGGAGACAAGTGTGCACCAACTCCATGGCCGGAAGGGAAGGAAGTAAAACACCTGAACTGGGGACTATCTCCCATCAGCCGTGATGGAAACGTCTCCAGTGGCCTGGAGAGCAGTAGTGAGGACAGTTAGGCAGACAGGTGCCAGCCAGTGGGTTCAAAGGGGTCAGCTCTCTGAAACCTTGCCAGTGAACTAGCGTGTGGCTATGGCATAGCACAGCATCTAAGGCCCATAAAGCCACCTTGGACAGCTTTATGTGTCTTGGCATGGACTTGTAGGAGACCCATGCCAGGGAGGGTGGACTCTCAGGTTGATCTCAGGGTCACAGGTTTAGATGTGGCCACCAAGAGAGGACCAGAGCCTGCCTGAACTTATACACCGGTCCCAGGCAAAGCCAGGGCGAGAGCAGGGCTCCCAGCCTCCCCAGTCAGTTTGTCTTTCAGAAAGCCCTGGGCAAGGGTAACAGAGTCAAAAGTGGTCTCCCTCCAGGAGCACCTCCACCTCAGACCACAGTTATGCAGTGTGCATCTAGACCACAGCTCTGTTCATACCAGTGTCTACAACACAGGATAACTTGCCTGCATTTCGGGGCTAGGAGGGCGTCACAGCTGGGACTCACTCCGGGTCTGGGATCCTAACAGATACATGAGTCTGTCTCAGGGTGGAGATGGCCACCTGGTGGTCCCATGTGCAATCACAGCCCCGAGCTGGGGAAGCACTGGCCGAGCCTAACATGGACGCTGGGCCAGGACTCCTTGGGAAGGGACTGTGGGGTGTGTGCCAGGGTTTCATTGAGCACCGCGCATTGGCCGAGCTCCCCCTATGAAAAACTGCCCCAGAGCACTGCCATCTCCCCTTCGATCAGGCATGATCCATCCAAATAGTCCTCAGTGTACAACCTCTGGATCGTCATACATGCTGTTCCTCTGCCTGACACCCCCAGCCCCTAGCAGAGCTCCCACACATGCCTAAGACCTGACAGCTGCCTCTCCTCCTCTTGGAGTGTGTCCTTTGTTTTTGGACTTCCTCCTGCACCTGCTCATGGTGGAAGTTCCGGGTCTATGTGTATCCCATCATACCCCCTGGCTCCTGTCCTTCTGCCCCTATCCCAGGGTGCCCAAGTCAGGGCCACCCTCCAAGATCTGCCCAGGCAGCCTGGGTCTCTGGGGAGCTCTAAAGGAGTGTGGTGGTGGATCAGCTTCCTCCCTGTTCCTTCTCTAGGCTTGATCTGTGTCTGGGTGCCCCTGCTTGGCTAGACGACCTTGGGACGTGGGGAAGCTTCCAGAAGTTACTGAGGGTGGCCTAGCTGCCTGGTGGGTGTCACCCCTAGGAGTCACTTCCTGCCGTGGCCTGCAGGGAGTCAAGGGGTGGGGGGGATGTACAGGACAGCTTCAGGACCCTCCTGAGCAAACAGCGCCAGATAGGTAAGAAGGCTTGGAGATGTGACGGACCCTCCTGGAGTAGCCAATGGCTGCTGCACTTTTGGGGTGGCTGATAAGCAGCTGCAGGAGACAGACCACGTGATTGTGGCCCAGGCTGTGCCCCCAGGGCTGTAGCTCCCCCACTGGGGTGGGTTTCAGAGCTCCCACAGGCCATCGGAGCGGAAGGAAGGGGCAGCAGTCCACAGGAGCAGCGGGGCCTTCTACACACCGCCCTGATCCTCGGGATGCCTGTTGTGGAAATGCCACTGGCCAGAGGTCAAGCCTGGCCTGGGAGCAAGCGTCCTTGAAAAGCCACACACAGGCCACACCTTCCTCTGTCCCTTTAGCACAGTAGCCTGTCTCGTTCCAGTGCTTCCGGAGCAGTGAGACAACTGAGCAGATCCAGCAGGTAGGCCTGCTGTCCTGAGCCATGTCGCCTCTCAGGCCTCCACAGCACTCTCCCCTAGCGCACTGAGCCCAATCCGAGGCCTGCGGCCTGCTGCCTCACCCCACCCCTCAAGCCCTTCCTCCTCACAGCCACCAGGGGGACCTGTTACGGAACCCCTCGTGGCTCCTTATTTCTCTGAGAGAAAAACCAAGCTGTGTGCCAGGCTCTCGGCCATGGGGCCCCCCTGTCTTTGAGAGTGAGCCTGGCCCTGCCTCCGCTTCTGCTGCTCCCACCACCTGGCTTCAGGGTTCTAGCACAAGTCAGGGCATCCCACCCCGGGGCTTTGCACTGCAGCTCTCTCTGCCTGAAAGTCTAAAGTCTCCCAGCTCAGAGACCCCAGCAGCCTTCCCTGTTTAACCTCCTGATGCGTGTGTTTCCTCATTTCTGTCCCCACAGCGCGGCCACTTTCGTCCCCTTCAGCGTCGTTTCCCACTTTCCAGCCAGCCTGGCCCAACTTAGAAGCCAATAACCTGCCAGAGCTGGCAGCCAGGAGCTGACCCTGCTGCCCTCAGTCCGATTCTGCTGGACCAGGCTGAAGGGCTACAGTGCTCATCTTAATAAGCCACGCAGTGCCCAGTTCAGCAGCCGGGCCCTGTCTTATAAGGTGTGAGTTCCTCCCTCTGGGAGTAAACACTACATTCTGCTGCAAGTGTGCTGACTCGCTCATTCTTGCAATGACCTAGTTCACCTCTGAGGAGACAGGCTCAGAGAGGTTAAACGGCTGGTCCCACGCCACACAGCCGCGAGATGACAGTGTCAGAATTAGAAGTGCCTGGCCCCGAGGTCTGTCCCCTCAACAGCATTGCCATAGAGTGGAACCCTGCCAGGAACTCTCCGGGCACCAGCCTGGGACCCCATGGGGCATCACTCCCCTTCTAACTAGGAAGCCTCCACAGCTTGCTTGCTGCTCAGGTGGGAAGTCTGGCCTTCTTGGACTGGCCCCTGAGGGTACACCCGGTCTGCCCCCAGCACTTCCCTGTGCTTTTCAGGACTCAGACCACCGCTTGCTTCTGAGCCCTTTACCCAGCCAGCGGCCCTGCCAAGTCTGTGCCCCCTACCCCCCACCCCTCACCCCCCACCCCTCACCCCCCACCCCGCCTGGACCCCCCCGACCCCGGAGCTCACTTCACAGAGACAGAGAACTGGCCAGGGGAGCTCTCGCTCTCCCGGATCAGGAAGGCTCCTAAGTGGTTCCGCTTCATCAGAATCTCTTCAGCCAGCTGCCGAGAAATCCTGCCCGAGTACCACCTGTGCAGAGAGGGGACCGTGTCAGCAGGTGTCTGTCTGTTAGCGCGGGGCAGGGCTGGCCCTCTGTCCCTGGTATCCTCGTCTTATTTTTCACATGGGGGAAGTTGAGAAATGGGGAAGAAAACCAAGGTCACACAGCAGAGGCCAAAAAGAGCGGAGACAACCTGTCCCTGCTGCTCCCTGCCAGGCCGGGCAAACCCACACCCAGGACAAACAAAAGCCAGGCTCCTGGGCGCCACCAGCCCGCACATCCCAGGCAGACTTGTAGAGGGAGAAGGTCTTTTTATTATTTTTTAAATTATATGTATTATATATGTGTGTTGGGGGGTATGTGCGCATGAGTCTAGAAGAGGGTGTAGATAGATCCCTTGGAGCTGGAGTCACAGGTGGTTGTCAGTTGCCTGATGTAGGCGCTGGGAACGGAACATGGGTTTCCTGCAAGAGCAGTATGCACTCTTTTTTTGTTGTTGTTTTGCAAGACAGGGTTTCTCTGTGTTGCTCTTGCTGCCTTGAAACCCATTCTATAGACCAGGCTGGCCTCGAACTCAGATCCACCTGCCTTTGCCTCCTGAGTACTGAGATTAAAGCCGTGTGCCACCACTGCTGTGTCAGGATGCGCTCTTAACCACTGAGGTAGTCTTGATTTTTTTTTTTTACATCAAAATTTATTTATTTATGTGCAGGCACGCACCTATGCAGGAGTGCCCATACCACATCTATACAGGCCAGAGGACAACCTGTCAGTTCACTCCTTCCACCATTTGAGTCCTAGAGACTAAATTCAAGTTATCAGGCTTGGTGGCAAGTGCCTTTAACCATTGAGGCATCTCACTGGCCAAGGCCAGATTTTAAAAAGTTAAAGGGTGTAAAACTGTGCTAGGGTGTGGGTCAGTGGTGGGATGCTGGCCTGGCGCATGTGAGGCTCCATGCTTGTCCTCACACCACAAAGAAATAAGGATGACATCAACGCTAGTGTCCTCCTCCCCTGTGCCCCTCCCCAGGTAGGAGCAGATTGGGTACAGGACTGCATCTGCTAAGTCTTTGAGTCTCGCGAGGCAGGAGCAGACTCAATAGCCTGTCTAGCCAGCTGCTCTCAGTTTACTGACCCCAGGGCCTAGGCTAGCGGGCTGAGATCTAGAGAGGATTCCCTGGGAAGTGGGGGGTCCTCAGGAATGGGAGACTGCCTGCCACGCCTTGCTGTGACTCCCAAACCCACACATTGGAATCGGGTCTCTGTGATGACTATTCTTGGTTGTCAGTTTGACTACATCTGGAATTAACTAAACCCCCCAAATAGAGGGAACACCTATGAGGGATTTTTGCTCAATTTGAAGTGGGAAGATCTACTTCTGATCCATATCCCTAATCTAGATCTTTGGAGCTGGGAAAACCCACCTTTAGTCTGGGCCATGCCTTCTGCTGGAAGCTTATATATAAGGACATGGAAGAAGGAAGCATTTGCTCTCTGCCTGCTTGCTAGCAAGTTTATTCCTTCTGGCATTAGAGCCTACTTTGGGATTCCAGCATAGACTGAAGACCAGTTGAGACATCCATCCTCGTGGACTGAACAACTACTGGATTCTTGGACTTTGGATTCATAGCCAGACATTGTTGGATTAACTGGACCATAGCCTGTTCTAATAAATCACACACACACACACACACACACACACACACACACACACACACACACAGAGAGAGAGAGAGAGAGAGAGAGAGAGAGAGAGAGAGAGAGAGAGAGAGAGAGAGAGAAAGGGGGGATGGGGGAGATTCATGCTATAAATTCTGTTACTTTAGAGAACCCTGATTACTATAGTCTCCAAACAGCAGAGGTTGGGACCGCTGGGGTGACAGGGTCATAGGGGACGGGATCTAGGGGACTGTGAGTCATAGAGGAAAGGGTTCACATGCATGAAGGACAGGGACACTCGCTCCCTGGAGTTCTAACACTCAGTTCTCTTCACTCCTCCTTTGACTACAACATTTGCTTCTTCTTTTTTTTTTTTTTTTTTTTTTTGGTGGCTGTCCTGGATCTCGCTCTGTAGACCAGGCTGGCCTCGAACTCACAGAGATCTACCTGGCTCTGCCTCACGAGTGCTAGGATTAAAGGCGTGCGACACCACCGCCTGGCCATGTTGCTTCTTGTACTGATGTGGAAACTGAAACTCGGGGAGGCCTGAGGTCTCCTGAGAGGCTGCTTAGCATGTCTGAGGTTCACCGCCGCCCACACACAGCTGCTCTCACTCACAGGCTTTCTGTCCCTCTCCGCAGGCTCATGAAGAGCCTCGACCATCTAGCTGCAATCCCAGCTTGCCTCTTGCCGGCTAAGTGATCCTGGATAAACCACCCAGTCCCTGTTGCCTCTACTGGTCAGTAAGACGGTGTTGATAGTTCCTACTTAGGCACAGTTGGGCAGCTGGAGGAACAGCTACCCAGAGGCGTTTCCAGCTGCCATTATGATAACATGGGCATTCCCTACCTCCCACGCCTCCCTGGGCCTGTCTCTGTCTTCCCTGGCAAACTTCTATTCCAACCTGGAGGCCCAGGGGCCTATGCTTTTCCTGAGAAGCCACCCCCCCAGCCCCAGTCACCTCACTACCCTTCAGCTCCACTGAGAGTACAGTGCCTTCAGAGACAGAGGGAATCCTGGGGCTCAGGGAAAAAGTGGCATAGGCCTTCTAGGATTACAGCCCTCGCTCTGCACCCCCACATTCAGGGCCTTCACATCCAAGAGGGGATGTCCCCCCACAGCTGTTTCGGGCTAGGGCAGGGCCCAAGATTACCAAGCTGGCCTAAGATTACTCAGCAGGCTCCTTAGGATCTGGCTAACACCTGATCATGACCCTTCCTGGTCTAAATACAGGTGACCAGAGCTGCCCTCCAGGCTACCAGAGGCTTGGGTTCCTTGAGTACCCCGTTGGACCCTCCTTCTTCCTGGCCTTCATGACAGCCTGACCCTGGACTTCAGTCCTTGCAATTAATTCCTCTCCTGGCTCTGGGTCAGGGCTGCTCAGCCGTTCAGGCTCTCCATCCAGCCTTCTGGCCTTTGCCTGATGTCCTCCCTGAGGCCACCCAGGTGACCCCAACCTTAGCTCGGCATGCCTCAGACCTGGCTTGGCTAACACCTGAGCTACATGCTTTTCTCTCTTTCCCTGTGTCCTCCTTCAGCTGCCTCTGGGTTTGGGTGTGCCTGGCAGGAAGGCCTGGGACCCAGCAGAGTGGTTGGGGATGGGGACCCCAAACAGGCCATGTTCGGCACAGGAAGCCGGAGGTGGCAGCACTTTTGGAAACAAGCAGAAAAAAGACAAAGAGGAAATACCCTTTGGGCCCCACCCTGCACCTCCTCCCCTTCCACCCAGACACACAGCTCCCACCTGCTGATTGAGCCCCCCCCCCCTCCTGTCCAGGCACTCCCATGGCTCAGCACCTGAGGCTCTTCCTGGCTTCCTCCCACTTTCCACCTTCCCCTGAAAATGCCATAAGCCACTGCCTTTGCCTACACATCTGTACATTGTCTATACAGCCAACTCCTATACACCCCCCAGGGTCTCACTCATTGCCACCCTTCAGAGAGGTACCCTAACGCTGCCTGCCTTTCCACATGATCTTTCTGTGCCCCGTGTCTCCCACAGTTCTGATCCCTCTGTCTCTGTGCCTGGCTCCCTGGAACCAGAACAATGACCCAGATGCCACTTAAGGTATATCTGGCTGGTGTTCAAGGACTTTTTGGCTGTCCAGACATTCTGAGATGCTTCATGCCACCTCCTAAGACCCTGACCTAGGTCCCAGGCCCGAGACATCTGGGCCAGACTGTACTCCTAGCCTCCCCAAGCCCCCGCTGGCCAGTGTCCATCTCCTCAGGCTGTGCTGTACCCAGGGCCATCCCAGGCAGCTTGGCTCTGGCAGGGCATGGTGAGGTTGCATGGCCTCCAGGTGGATAGGGGGAGTGGAGACTACTCACGGGTGTGGCTTTACACGGATGTAGTTCTTGGGGACAAAACCCTCGGCTCCTCGGAGCTCGGCCTTGTACCAGTTCTGGTCATCTTCCATGTTCAGGATCTGTAGGCAGGAGCAACATGGCCACTTAGCCACCCGCTGATGTCCCTGCTGTCTGCAGTGGTTCCCAGGCCTTTCACAGAGGGCAGAGCCCTGGATGAGGACCTGTTGCATTCCACAGGCCAAGGCAGCCTGCAGGCAGGCAGATGGTCATCCACAGGAGGCCTGTGCCTCCTGGTGAGGCCACCTAACCCATGCAGGTTTATGGTTATGGCACGGGGCATCACAGCCTCTATGCCCTACCATCCAGACCCCCAGGGTGCCCCAGGGGCCTCGGGGAAAGGGAGTAGACTTGTGGTCCTTAGCTCTTTTGATTACGATTACAGGAGCCCAGAGCAGCCAATCAATGACCACTGAGGTGTGACATGAAGTTGGAGGCTCCCAGAGGAGTCAGCGAGCCCCAACAGGTGGCTAGACTGGGTCACATGCATTTAGTGTTTGGGATGACCGTGAGGGTCAGGAATATGGGAACAGACAAAAGAGCCTGTGTTCTGATGAAGCCAGTTCCCAGGTTCTGGCCCAGATGCTTGGATCCCATAGACACTCTCCAAGCAAGCCTGCATGGCCTTGTCACCCCAGGTGGACTAGCCTGAAGTGGACAGAGAGTCACTGTGTCACCCACTAAAAGGGTGGGAAGCAAGCCTGGGGAGGGGACAGCACACTTCGTCCCGTGGGTACATTTGCCCTGTGCTCCCCCAGTTCTCAAGCAGCTTGAAGAAGCTGACGTCACCGAGCGCTGTTTCACAGACAGGTGCAGAGAAGGAGCGAACTCGGCCAATCCGGCACAGCATACAGCTGGCCTGGGCCTTTGGAAACGCTGGTCTTGGAGGCTTTGGCCCACTCCTGGCTTTCACCCCCACTCTACTCCTGCTTTGTACCTGGAGCCAAGCCTGAGACTCCTCTCTGGTTAGAAGTCACAGCAGAGCTGGCTCCCCCCCCCCCCCCCCGGCACCAGAGTGATAGAAACAGGCACGCAGACGTGTTTAAGTATGATCCCCAAGTGAGAAGCACCCGGAAGGCTGCTGGGCTTGTGCTTCAGTTCAGGCCTGAGTCCCCCTGGGAGGCACTGGAGCCAGACTGAACTTTTCCTTCCTTCCTGGCCTGAACAAGGTCAGCAGCGCTGGGCAGACGGAAGCAGGTAGCTGGCTCAGGAGCACTTTCACTCAAAATGAAACAAAATTCCACCCGATGTGGCCACAGCTGGAGCTAGCAGCCCTAGCCGGCGCTCTTGAGCTCTGACTGCTGCTGCTGTCCTAGTCTGTTGCATGGGCACAGCTGTGGCCAGCACCATGCAATGTCTTAGGCTGTAGTACCCACGTGACCACTGTGCCCGTAACCTCTGCCATGTGCTGTTCTGTTTCCAGTCGTCTCTTTACGGAGACCAGGGCTGCTGCTACGCTTACCTTGCTGAATTCTTACTGCTGATGGAGCCCCAGACCTGTGGAGCTTTGGGGATTCCCCCCAGAGAACTCACTTCAGGGTAGCAGTGCTTCCCAGGTCAAGCAGAGAGCCGGTCTGCCCCAGCACTAGCCCTACCTGCCGCCGCTGGTCTTCCTACTGTCCCCAGATGCAGAGACAGCTCTTTACTGCGCACCCACTGGGTGCAGACAGCGAAGGAGTCCTAGAGATGCAGGGGTAATAGGAACCTGTGCGCCAGGGGCGGTAGTGCTGTGAAGAAGCGAGGAGACAAAGGAACAGCCGCTTCGTGCAGTGGGGAGAGCCGTGGGAACTAGCGTTTGGACAAGGAGCTGCCAAAGGGGCACACAGAGGCCTCTCTGGAGATGCCCCAGTTTACAAGAGGGAACCAGCTAGTTTGGTGGCCCAGGCTTGTCACCCCAGCACTTAGAAGGCTGAGGCAGGAAAAAGAGAAAGAAAGAAAGAAAGAAAGAAAGAAAGAAAGAAAGAAAGAAAGAAAGAAAGAGAGAGAGAAGGAGGGAGGGAGGGAGGGAGAGAGAGAGAGAGAGAGAGAGAAAGAAAGAAAGAAAGAAAGAAAGAAAGAAAGAAAGAAAGAGAGAGAGAAGGAGGGAGGGAGGGAGGGAGAGAGAGAGAGAGAAAGAAAGAAAGAAAGAAAGAAAGAAAGAAAGAAAGAAAGAAAGAAAGAAAGAAAGAAAGAAAGAAAGAAAGAAAGCAATGGTGAAAAGCTAGGGGGAACGGTAGAGGGTAGAGGGAAAAGGGGAATAGCCAGGGCAAAGGCTCTGAGATGGACCCAACTTTGTCCCCTTAAAAGGAGGCTAGCATGTCTGGCTGTGGGCTAGAGGCAGGGAGAGCAGCATGTACTGAAGAGCACTGTGCTAGCTCCATGACCAGAGGAGAGGCCCTTGGGGGCGAGAAGAGATGCTCAGATTCAAGATAAGAGTCCGAGTTGGAAGGACCCAGGGGCAGGCTGCTAGGATACACGAGTGCCATCCGCTTCCCAGGGGGGCTGTCTGTCTGGGTCTCTGGGGCAAGCTAATCATGGAGAGACTCCGTGTGTGTGTGTGTGTGTGTGTGTGTGTGTGTGTGTGTGTGTGTGTGTGTGTGT